GTGTGAGTGTGAGTGTGAGAGAGGTCCTCATGTCCTTGTGTCGTGTAATATTAGGTTGTGTGAAGATACGTTTCCTCATGTGATGATTTAGACCCAATCTGAGGACATTTGTGATGCAGGATTCCCACTCCGGAGTTTTTCTTGACAATACAGTTGCTCATATGAGCTGCGGTTTCAGGCAAAATGGTGACATTAATTGTCATGTCACAACTGAAGTAACAGTTCAAATCAAGTAGAATTTATTTTATTTTACAGAAAATTCCTCTTCTAGGAAGTTAAACGTGTTTATTGCACGTGAAATTAACATCACTGTGCATGTATTTGTGAGCCACAGCAACAGGAAATTGGATCATTATTAGGTTGTTTGCATGTAGATATGAGAAGCTCTGGAAAAAATAGACTTGAAAAGATCATCACTGCAAGTCAGTAACACTTTGCAGTCAATAAACCTGCTTTGAAGTGTCAACAGTTGAGTTTTACATAAAAAAAAAACAGACCCAGGTTTTGATATTTGGTCATTTTAATCCATTTCCAGGTGTTTCCATGACTGGAAACTAGTTCCTAAATTGCCAGGTTTTTCAGTTTTTTTCCAGGATGTGTGGGAACCCCCGATGATGTCACCTCACCTTGAATACTGAGCATCTGTCCAAGTTTCAGAGCAGCACCGCGGACTTTGCAAAGCGTCCGGACAATCCTCTCAGCGTTGGCTTCGGAGAGGAAGGCGCTCGAGCTCAGAACGGCCTTCTTATCACCTGAAAGACAAACACAACATTCAGTACAGGCGACATTGTGCTTCAGCTGCTGATAAGATTGTTACAGGTTATATGTTTGATATAAGTCTACTGTATTACTGTATGTTCACCATCTATAAGCACAGGTACTTTTGTCAATTCAATTCTTTTACTAAATATATTGTATTTTATGGCATTGACGGGAGCGGATCTGTAATGCCTGGTCATCCCAGATTGGGGTCAAATTTAACACATTAATTTTGATTAATTAATTTAAAAATAAAGTGTTAAAATTAATAAATAATATTTGTTTAATGATCTTTTATGGGCACATTTTAGACAAAGTGAGAGGCTTCAAGGAAAAAACGCATATTTGAAAATAAAAATGTCTGAATATTTGAAAATTTACAGATTTCTAATGCCAGCTATTAATAAAGCATTGAGCTTTATTAATGTTACACAATAATGTGATGTTTTTGATTTAAAATATCTTCATTTGGGGGCTTCCTTAAGCAAATATTGAGATATGGGATTGTTGAAGAAAAACTGCTAGGATGTGTTAAACAGGAAATTATAAAGCATTAACTTTTATCTTAAACAAAATGGCCTAAATTCATTATCATCACAGATTTAAGTTCAGTTTTAGAAAGGTGGCGAGGAAAGTTTCAGCGGTGTGAACTGACCCGTCTCGAGCCTGCTGAGCGCGCGCTGCCTGCGACTCAGCTGGTCCAGTGAGTTACAAACTGTCAGCTGGTGGAAATGGCAAAGTTTTGGACGGAGAAAAGAAAGGTTCTCCTCATCAATCTGTTTGACACAAGCCTTAAAATGTTCCCATGTGCCTACGGACGACTCCAAATTCTCCACCCTCTCAACTTTCATCAATAAAAAGCAACTGTAAGCAAGAACCTCACTATCTCTGTCATCATTTTATACTTTAGGATGCTACAAATGATACCCAGCCACAAAAAAAAGCCTGAAAAGCCGGCAGTTAGAAAGGATGGAGAGTCGTTTCTATGGAGATGACGCACCGTCTCATCTAGTTGTGAATCTTTGGTCTCAACTGGGCTTTAATAATAGCACTCATAGCACCATGTTATGTACCCATTATGGACAATGTGCAGGATAACTCCATCATATTGTTTTTGCATCAATACGAGGAGGAATCTTTACATTTAATTCACTGGATTACCCTAAAAACAGACTTTGTTTTTCAATCTGTCATTTAGGAAAATATTTTATCCAAATCACCCTCCCCACATTGTGACATTTGATGGTACAGACTTTTATTGTACACCGTTTGGTATGAAACTGACTAAACGACTTAACTGATTTCTACATCTTAACCTTCTGGGAACTTCACAGTTTCTTTTTACATATAATAAATTGTTCATTATCTTATAGTTAAAGCTACTTCAAGATCTTGTTGAAACAATACACAAGATAAAACGCAGACTGAGTCGTGACTACGGCCTCTTGAGGTCACCAAACACACTCCAACATGAAGAGTGAACATGTTCGTCTTCACAGTCATAATATGATCATTAAAATTAAAAACTCTCCCAACTCCTCAAGTTGCCAATCAAACAAAAATCATCCTCTCATCACCTTGTTGCTGTCGTGGTTTAAAACTCTTCTTGGCCACTTCAGCGATCGCCCCAATGCCGAGTCCGACCGCCAGACCTGCAAAAACAAATCAATGTAAACATGATTCATAAAGTTTCTTTGACGCTGTTTTCTTATGAATGCTGACAGTGTTTACGCTACCAAAGCCCGACTGTGCATTTGACAACAGCAGCAACAAAAAAAGGACCTGATAACGGCAACCTGTAACCAGAAGTGGCTCTAATATCTCAGAGTTTTGGGGGTAAAATAAGGACAAGACAGACGGGGAATAAACAGCTGATACTACTGTAAGTGCGATGCCCTTTGAGGAGAAGGCGGCTGATAGTTGACAACATATTTTATATTAGCTGGATCTACTCAGGCAGGACTCCGGCACGTCCCTGAAACATTCTCTCAGCTACTGATACTCTCCAGTATCCAGTCCTGTGAAAGAGTCAGCACTTCCCACAGTCTGACCCCAGGTCTGCAAAACGGGTGACCGAGGTCATCGATGCAAAATCTCCTTCACTGGATCCAAAATTAAACTTTCATGTTCAAACACTCACAGAAGAAATACAAATAAACAACAACAACTCCACTCAAACTAGCTGAAAGAGGATAAAAATATGTAGGAAATTCTGCTGGGCTGACATCCTGTAGTGCAACTTGTTAATCTCCCATGAGCCTTTGCTGCTCTGGAGGAAGTGCCAGCGCTGCCAAAGTCACTTGCACAACGTGTCCAAAAAAAACAAATTCGTTGGAAGTTAGCAAAGAAAATGTCAGAGTTCATTTAAGATTATCCAAATTATACTGAGTTTATAAACGCTCAAAAATCATATTTCTGAGTCATTTTATTGTGAAAAACCAAGAGAGTCAGAAACATAAAGGCTCAAACTAATGATTGTTTTTATTTTTTAATCTGCTTCCTGTTTTCTCAAATAACCGTTTAGCCTTTAACATAAAAATAAAAAACTAAATTTTTTTTTGTTGTTGCTTTTTTTTACTTAAAAAATGACTTTAATTGTTGCAGCTTAATTTTCAATTAATCAACTAATAAACACAAAATATCTATTCTGAATATTTAAAACTAAACTTTTACTTTTATGGACCAGTGTGTAGGATTTAGCGGTGAAGTTGCATATTATAACTCCCTCGCCTCACCCTCCAGTTCCAAGCGTAAAGGAGAAACTACGGCGGCAGCAAATCTCGCTAAAAAACACAAAACACCCCTTTCTACAGCCAGTGTTTGGTTTGTCCGTTCTGGTGGACATGGCAGTTTAAAACGGCGGTTGGAAGTCGACCTGGGCGTCTGTAGATAAAAACGTCTCATTCAAAGGGAACGAAAACACAACAATTGTTATATTCAGGTGATTATAAAGTAATGAAAACATACCTTTTTAATATTATATTCAATTTCTGCCATAATAAATAATAAATAATAAATAATAAATAATAAATAATACACACTGGACCTTTAAGAAGGTACCTTGAGGACTTTGACCATTAGGAGCTTTATGTTTAATGTGTTTGCAGCGAAGCAGCAGCAACGGCAGGGAAAGGAGGAAGAGGAAGTAAACATGGATGAAAACAATGTTGGTTTGAAAGTGTTCCTCAACCTCAGCTTTACAAATGTTTTATGAGGAAGGAAATCATTTCAACACATTTGTTAGAATGCACACGCTGCGTTTTGGTAACACTGAATATAAACATACAGTAACTTTTAAAAAGAAGATTACACAGGGCATCTTTAAAATTTAAGAACAACTAAAAAAACTAAAAAGCTCTGAACGCAAGGTCACTGAAGCTGAAAAATTATATAAAAATGTGATCAATTGAAAATCATACACTGTGATAGCCCTGCCAGTGATTCATGTAAAGCAGGAGCTCCAAACTGCTGACACGGGGGACATTTACAGCCCTTCATCCCTCTTCATCCCCCTCCATCCTCCCTCTATCCCGGTCCATCCCGGCATGACATCAAAATATCATTGAATCTGACCCGCAAGATTATTTTATTATAACATTTTCTAGTTGTTTCATATAAATGTAAACTCCCCCTTCATATACAATTAAAATAAAAAAACCACAAGTTCAGATTCTAAAAATGTGATTCTAGCTTGGTGAAGTTCACGAAGGTTGGTAAGAAGAATAATGAAGGGACATAAAGAATGGTATAAAGGACTGGCGTGCATTCTATTATGTTATTGATTTATTCGTGATTGTCCTATTGCTATATGCGGTATTAGCTGTATTGTTATTATTATGTATAGGTTATTATTATTACTATTATTAAGTATGATGTTAGTGATGGAAATACTTTCAGAATATTGTGCTGTCTTGTAGTAATTGAACTTTAAAGTGGACCTCTTGTGACATGACAATACCAGCAGTGGCCCTAAGCCAGTTTGATGTAAAGTGATATGTTGGGTGTTGGCACTTGGCAGACGCCCAGTAATATAACACTGGTTACAGAGCCCTGGCGCTGAGGGTCAAATGCCTTGCTGAACGGCACACTGGCAGCACATTCCCCACAGTTTATAGTCTAAGGATTCGACCTGAAACCTTTATGTTAACGTGGACTATATTAATATATTAATATATTAATATTCTAACACACCCACCTCCAAAATTCACCAGCCTTCCTATCCGCGTGACGGGCACCTTCCTCTCTCTGGACCTTTCACTGAGCTGGAACACAAGAACAGCACTAAACTTAAAGAACAATATTGAAGCAATAACAACAACAACATACTGTAGATTATAGATTATATATAATATGCTTCAAACTGATACAAATAGAAAGGTATTACAGTGGATACCACTTGCTTATGTTGCTTGATGTCTGTTTTCTTGCTGTTTCGTGCTTTATCAACGTCCTCCGTTGTCAGCCGCCCCACTGTGGAGTTGTCCTGGTTAAATAACCTCGTATGTCCAGAGAACAGTTGGCGAGACCAGTCCCTGTGGTACTTCTTAGCGCTGGGTGCCCCGCCGCAGGTCCCCTGTCCGCCATTTATACCTCCAACGAAACAGCTACTGAAACCAGCTCCCATAGTCGAATATCTGTGAAACTGCGCTGCCGTGACTCTGTGGACTTCTTGCTGTTTGTTGAACGTCTCCTGGATGACAGAACAAGATTCATGGCAGACGTTAAAGTTACTTATTCACTTTCTTACTTGATTAGAAGTAATTCAGACGTTTCGATACCAGGAACAGACACAAACTAATGTCAGAGACTGTCTCTATGGTCAAACTCTGATAAAACATGACGAAGGTGAGGAAGCAGCAGAAAAATATGGAAATAAAATCTAAGAATGTGTGGTTTTAGTTGCATTTGAGAGCCCTGTGGTCGTTTAAATCATCAGTCACGAGATGATTAATGAGGATCCGTGTATATTTTATTATATTTCCTTTACTCTTTGCATTCCTCTGTGCTCCAATCTGAATTTACAACAATAAAGGAACATCTTATCTTCTCTTACTTGAAAGCGTTGTTTGATTTAAATCTGAGCTTTGCCTCTTACATGAAGTATGGGACAGTTTTGCCTCTTAAAATGAACAGACTGAGAAACCTTTCACCCTTTGCACGCTGTGACGAGGGCTCACAAGTGGCACCGCTATCTTTTAAGGGCTCACAAGCCCAAAAAAAGTACAAAATTGTGTTGCAAACACTTAACACTCCACCATCAGACATTAAACATCTTATTTATTATTATTATTAGTTAAATCCTCGTCCTCCTGTGTCTTCTATTCCAGCACCGTCTGCCTCACAACCCAGAGCCACTATTGTTGATGAGGAGACGGTGGCAGAAACAGACAGAGGAGGTATCTGGGTTGCGTTGTTTGTGAAACTCTATCCGCCCTGCAGCTGCACGAAGGCCAAAATCAGGGGCTGACTTGCTCACCCTTGCTGATCCGGCAGCGTGATGGAAGTTTACCAGCCTCTGGTTCCCGGTGCCGTGCAGGCTGCCCGGCGGGCCTCTGCTGGCCGCCTGCTTCATCCAGGTCAGACCCCTCCAGACCACCGTGTCACCTGTCATGGTTGTTGATGTTCAGACCTGCAAGAGCCGGGAACAACAGGGTCTCTGCAACAGGTTTGCTTTAGATGGAAGCTGAGGAGGTCATCTGTGTCTGACCATGCTTGTGGGATAAAGCAGGGACTCCATATCCACAGCATGCATGGCAAATACAACCTTAATCACAAGCTGATATAAGGGCAATATTAACCTGGCTGACTGTGATAAAGGAAAGAAACACCTGATACATTTAATAGTAAGTTATATGGTTTTTATGTCTGGTCTGACCCACAATGAAAAATGAATTAAAATAAGGATTTAAGAAGGTTTTAAACTTCTCACTCACCAACTTTCCAGCAGACAGTCCTCTCAGCTCCGTGAGCATGCAGCGAGCATCGTGCGACTGCAGCACCAGCAGCCGTTCACCTTGGATTTAACTTGACACACTTTCCTTGTAAACACCTCAACTCCAGCAGGGCGACACGCTGAAGGACATGTACACGCTCTCCCGAGGCCAGGGGAGGGGAGGGGAGAGAGGGAGGGAGGGAGGGAGAGGGGAAGTTCAACAAACACGGGCCAATGAGGCAGAGTCGAGCCGCCAGCTGCGGGTATCAACACACCTCCGCACTGGTTGCACAGACTGTCAGTCGTCCATCTCCGTCCGCAGTCTGGCGGGCTGACGTGGCCACGCAAAAAGGGCGGGTCCGTGAACTGCACACATGCTGCGTTTACGGGATAGCTGAAAAATATGATGTGTGTTTTTTTTTTTTTTATTTCTCTTTAGTTTGAATCATAATTCGCACTTCCTGTTTCTAAACATGTTTCGAGGGCAATAACAGTAAAAGTTAAAGTCTGACTAAAGTATCAGGTAAAGTTTTATTAAATAAAAAGAGTAAAAGATTTATTAGTTGAGTTCAGAAATGGATCTTTGATTTCATTTTTTTAAACTAAAAATAGTTAAAAAACAGTAAAAACGGTACAAAATAAAGTTGATCTATTTATAAAAAGGTACAGATACAATTCATTAGGAGCTACTTAATTATTAATTGTATAACTGTTACTGTTTATTCTCCTCAGTTAATTGTATATACATGTTCAGTCCTTTATTATACCTAATGAAATGAAAATAAAAAAGTTTAATTTTAGTGTTAGGATTTATTATAATTACATTAAACTGTTTTTTATGTGGAAATGTAGTAGCATTAAAGTATTGAGACAGATAAACACTTGGATAAAGTAGTATAAAGTTCTTGAAAGCACATGACTGCTACTTTTTCTCACAGCACTTTCTGAGAGCTGATAGATGTGTTTAAGGACTTGTCAGTAGTTCATACATGGGGCTGTGTCATTGTCTTTGATAGCAGATACTGACAAGAAATCTGCATTTCCACATAGTATTAAACTATGGTCAGGTTGGAAAATCCCTTAAATCAGCATTTACATCATTAAACCTTTCCATCAAAACAAATTAAAGTGTTTACAGTGTGTTAGCAGCTGTAAAACACGTCTAAAGTACTCAACAGTAGCATGAAACCTCAGAATTCAAAAGCAGGATCTTATGAGGAGCACTTGAAGGCAACAAACCCCCATGCAGCTGTGAACTGTGAACTGATTCACAGCCTTAGAGTTTGGCTACAGTAGATGATGTTCAGGAAATGATGAATCACCTTTTAATTATAGAGAAAAAACAGCAACGTTGGAATAAACAGTAGAATTGACCGGGGTAATGAATGATATCACTTCTCTGCTTAGAGCTGTTGAGGAGAAACATGAAAATGAAAACAGTGGCATGGTATGATTATTGACTTTACAGTGACATAAATGTTTAAATGAGTGACCATGACTGATGTCAGCTGTTGTTTTTGTTACATGACAAGGTGTTTATGAAATGTTGGATGTTTCAGATGTATCACGCAGATGAAAAATATACAACTTGTGTGTGAAATTGTTATCTCATCTTTATTTAAGAATAAATGGAGATAAATAAATGTCTTTTAAGCACAGTTAAATAGTCCACATGCAGATGTTTTAGCTCTGAATCTCTGATCTGATCTCTGAATCTTGGTTAGACTTCCCCAATGCGTTACTCAGATATATATAATTCAGGATATTCCAGACTGATGAAATAAAACTTTCAAGGGTTTCGTCATGGTCTTAGGGCAGACGTCAGCTTTGGAAAAAGTCGCAGGGCGTTCTGTGTCGTCACCTCCATCACCGTCTGCAGAGACACGCCTTTGATCTTACTGATGTACTCAGCAGAGATACAGATGTTTTTGGGCTCATTTCTCACCTGCATTCAGAACACACAACAAGAATGATGCGACATAAGAGGGTGAATACAACTTAAAGTATTTGAATGATATAAGAAATATAACAAATTTTAGTTGCATGTGTCACAAATGTAAAAGAAAAAGCCAATGAGATATTGCAAATATCTCTTAAAAATATAAAAACAGGTCACAACAAATTCAGCAATTTATTTTGTTTCAATCTAAGAGAATCAAAATACTTTACCTGCTTTTCTGGACCGAGAGCTGGTGAATCGGTTTCGAGACAGATGTTCTCTAATGGCAGCTGTTTCACAAGTTTCTGCTTCTTGGTGGAAAATACACAAAGACACAATCATCAGTCATTAACGTTCAACGTGATAAAGTCAACCAATATAAACCATGTAAACGTATGTCAGTAGTGTAGTTGTGTAAACGGACAAAGATATATTTAAACAGTTTGTCTATGTCTATAAAATTCAGCTTTTTGTTTATTTACATACATAAAAGATAAATAGGAATATGTAAGTGTACACGCGTTAGTGAGAGGAAATTTAAACCAGGCTGTGTTATGATACAGTGTATATGTAACATGATCAGGTGTTCTGCTGTACCTGTTCACTCCGTATGATGGACGGTGGGATGGAGAAGAAATATCCAGCCTTCACTCCCTCCATGGCAACAGACGGTTTCCCATCAAAAGCATGAAGCAGGGCCTTTTCGACACCTAGTGGCATTTCAGAGGAATTGCAGTTTACTTCTCAAAGCAGCTTATCAACAGGTCAACAGAGGATCTCAGCCCAGCCGTTTACCTTGCTCCTTCAGGAGGTGGATGGTGGGTCTTCCTGCAGAGCGCGAATGAACATTTCTAGAAAGAAAACACACACGCTAAAATATTATGGAAGTCACATTAAGTCTTTCATGTTACTGCGCATACTGAGACTCTTTTACAAACACATTAATCCAATTATGATACACGTCGTAGAACATGTATTAATTATTGTATTGAAGTATTGAAGATTTTCAGTCAAATATTATGTGAGAGTTCTTAAATTACAATATTATCAGGAAAAAGACACCCGGACATTAATTAGAGGCTCCCAAAAAGGAGTTATTGAGTACAGTTACAACATTTTGTCTTCATCGGGTAATGATGAAAGACGTAATGTTGTAATTATGTGTGATTATCTTTTTCTTTATACTGTTTTTGCCATGTCACTGGTAAAAGGCACATTTCAGGATGTGTATACACTAGCTTGTGAAGCTTAGATTCAGATTTTAGCAGCAGAGTTAATATCACGTACAGAGCCACAGACTCACAGAGGGAGATCCAGTTCTTTGGCTATCTGTGCCTGACGAATGAGGACCTGCCTTTGGCTCTCCTTGTCAGTGTCACAGCTGACATATCTGGGTGTAAAATCCAAACCGACCTAAAATAACAGACGCAAAAAAAAGAGTTATCTGAACGCAAAAGTAAGCCAGGAGAGCAAACTGCTTCTCAATTGAGTCACATCACAGATGCTGAATTATTACCTCGCCAATGGCTACAAGGTGGTCTTTGTATTTCTCTATTATGGGCAGAGCAGCATCAAGATCCTGCATAAAAGACAGAAATAACATCCTTTATTCCATAGAAATGTGCCCACAATATTAAAAAAACATCACTTACCCTTTGTATTGAGATATCTGTCTCTGAGATTGATGCCACTATCACAGCACGGTGGGTGTGACTGGCTTTATGTTTGCAGTGAAGTGCACACACACATATGTGAAGACTATGGATCAGAGAAGACTACCTGTGTTGTGTCTGCGTTGTGGCAGAAATCTCAGAGGAAGTTCTCAAACCGTGTTAAACCCAAACAGCAGTACTGTACGTGGGTCATCTGAGTGCACTCAACCCTAACCTGGAGAGAAGCCCCCCTCTGTTGCTCTGGGGACACTTCTTGAACAGGGTGGACTCCGAGGCAGGGGAAAATAAAACCTGGAAACCTGAGGAGAAGTGAAAACGTCAGTACAATGAGATAACTCCACGTATGTCACTTTAATCGTTCTAGTTACCTCTGTGACAACTCGATAATCTTTTCAAATTCCCCGGCATGCTCTGCGACGGCTAATAGCGCCAACAACCCAGCCTGGGAAACAATAAAGCAAACCAATGAGTTAAACACACATCCCAATAACGAATGTAGCTCCGTATCTGAGAGGACTCACCTGTTTTGAACTCTCAATCACCTCCTCTATGTCCTGACAACAACAACAGGAACAGTTAATGTGTTAGACGACGTTTCAGAGGTTAAAAAAACACATTTCTATCCTTTTAAAGCGCGGCCATACCTCGTCAAACCCCCCCGCAGAGATATGACAGTGGCAGTCAACGTAGCCACGCATGTGTGCGGCGTTCAAAACCAAAACATCAGCGACTTCCGCAACGAGAGAGAGAGAGAGAGAGAAAGTGGCCCGCGCATGCGTAGAAAGCAGCGCAGAGCCGGTGTTGCGGTTCAACTGGTGACCGTGTTAATTGGTGACGTAGGCGTTCTCCTAAAAAGGACTTTAGGTTTAATAATTTGTCATCTGTCTTTAATATCTAAGTATCTAACCATTTATGTAAGTTCAATTGTGTTCAGAAGACGTATTAACCTCTCGTTACGTAGCTTAAAACGTGAGAAAGTCACCCGTTAACACGGTCACCAGTTAAACCGAAACACCACCGTGTAGAACGCGGCGTTGCCCGGGAGATCGGCGTTCCATCGCGTCTGATTGGTCGAACCTCCTCAGTGTGTTTGTGTTGGTGAGGCCGTCGGATCCAGGAAATCAAACAATAACACCAGAGGGTTTCCTCCTCGCGTTGTTGCCGTCTGATGTTGTCTCTTCCGCTGTATCGGCCGCCCCGTCCTCCCGATCGCTCTGTTTGACCCAGGAATGGGTTTGTTAGCCGGTTATTTCGTGGCGTCGATGCTGATCGGCACCGGCGCAGCGAAATACGAACCGAACTGGGAATCCATCGACTCCAGACCGCTGCCAGAGTGGTACGATCGGGCCAAGTTCGGCATCTTCATACACTGGGGGGTCTTCTCTGTGCCCAGCTTCGGCAGCGAGTGGTTCTGGTGAGTTTGGTGCCTCGTTTCAAGCAGTTTAGCCTCAGTTAACATATTATTGCACGATTTAAACTTGGTGCAGTTACAGAGCAAGATTAAAAGATTTAATGAATTTCTCCTTAGGGGGATAAATAAAGGAATTATCTTATCTTATCCTGCTGCTGGTATCCAGGGAACCACATAAAAGCATACATACAATAAAATAAAATGAAATCTCACCTCACTAGCTTTCAGTCATGTTTCATGGTCTTCTTCAGCGGATGGAGTTTAATACAGGTGCTCACATTTCCATTTTTTTTTTGCCTTGTTAGATTAAAAGCCGAGCTTCAGAGCCGATCATCTGCTGATGGAAAGCCACTGAATTGGTCCTTGGTGGCGTTCAAGGTCTAGAATGAACTTTCAACCACAGCTTTTAAGTTAACAGGGACAACGAGTCCTTAAAGTGCTCAGTAAAACTCTACAGTGAACTTTAAAACCTAAAGAAATTGTGGTTATTGTATTATTATTATTATTATAACATGTCTGTTTAATCATAGCAGTGGTCATTTTGAACTTTAACTCTTTAAATCGCCACTAAGAGTATAAATTCTAATTATTGTTTGTCATACAGTAAATACACACCACCTGCTCACCCTTCTTTAAGTGGCTCCTTCAGCCCGTTTTTGCCTTTGTTTTCTGTTGCAGGTGGTACTGGCAGAAGCAAAAACTGAAGCCGTATGTTGACTTCATGCAGAGCAACTATCCTCCAGACTTCAGGTATCAAGACTTCGCACCGCAGTTCACTGCCGAGTTCTTTGACGCCAAAGAATGGACGGACATCTTGGCCTCATCGGGAGCCAAGTACATCGTCCTGACCACGAAACACCATGAAGGTACAGGACATCATCGACTCCCCGTCTCAGTTACTTGTTCAGAGTTCTTCAAAGCGCTAAAATAAAGACATGATTCCACCTGTTTGAAGTTTTAAGAGATGTATTGTTTTATATATTTTCCAGGTTTCACACTATGGGGCTCAAAAAGCTCGTGGAACTGGAACGCAGTGGACGTGGGACCAAAAAGAGATCTGGTAGATGAAGTGGCGAGCGCCCTGCGTGCTAACAGTGACCTGCGTTTAGGGCTGTATCACTCTCTGTTTGAGTGGTTTAATCCGCTCTTTGAACAGGACGCTGCCAACGCCTTCACTACGAACAACTTCCCCACCAGTAAAACTCTGCCTGAGCTTTATGAGCTCATTGTCAAGTACAAACCAGAGGTGCTGTGGTCTGACGGGGACGGAGACGCCCCTGACAAGTACTGGAACAGCACGGGTTTCTTAGCCTGGCTCTATAATGATAGGTAATCCAGTTAATTTATACAGTAAGTGTGTGTTTAAGATAGCCGGTGTGATATTAACCTGTACTCCTCCACAGCCCTGTACGGGACACAGTGGTGACGAATGATCGCTGGGGCTCCGGCTCCATCTGCACCCACGGTGGATATTACACCTGCGCTGATCGCTACCAGCCGGGACACCTGCTCAAACACAAGTGGGAGAACTGCATGACCATCGACACAAAGTCCTGGGGTTACAGACGCAACGCCGCTCTCAGTGACTACCTGACCATCGAGCAGCTTGTGGCGGTGAGAGCCGAACACCTCATTAACCTTTATAGATTGTCTCTGCTCTACAAGATTAAGCCCTATTTGCTCTGAAGGAACAGCACCCTCCAGCTGGAAAGAAATCTTTGTGCAGTAAAGACAAAAGTTTGGTCATTTTAATCAATTTCCAGGTGTTTCTGTGACTGGAAAACTAGTCTCTAAATTTCCAGGTTTTCCAGGATGTGTGGGAACCCTGCTGTAATAATGTATTGATGTTCAGCAGCCATATATAAAGCATGTTAAACTCTGATGTGTGTGTGTGTGTGTGTTTCAGACATTGGTGGAGACTGTGTCCTGTGGGGGAAACCTGCTGATGAACATCGGCCCGACTCACGACGGAAGGATCGCTCCCATCTTCGAGGAGCGTCTGAGGCAGATGGGTCAGTGGCTGAAGGTCAACGGGGAGGCCATCTACAACACTACAGCATGGCGGGCTCAGAATGACACCATCACTCCCAACATCTGGTGGGTGTTTGGTTTAGAGTCACCAGCCAATTGTTTAAATCAGCCTGTAGATCCTTTTTCTAAGGAAATTTATAGTTTCGATATTACATTCTTTCTATATTATTTGACTGTTCAATACAAATATTTGTTCAATTTGAAGTTCAGTGCCACACTAAACTCCTATATTAACAGTTCCTGTGGTGGAAGTGCAGCTACGAGTCTCGTTTCTTAGCCTACCTCACGCTTTAATGTCTTTCTACGTCATCTGTGGTGTGAAAACATCACATTTCCACACTCTTACACAAACACACAAAACCTACCTATGAATATTATATTCAATTTCTGCCAATTGAGCCTCCTAAATTTTTCACACTGGACCTTTTAATTGGTTTTTATTTAGCTAAAAGTAAAAGTCATCCATTGCAGCACCACATTAGAAATACATCCTGGACATTTTTTTGTAGCTGTGTGTGATTTAATCTCCTCTTTTCAACGTGTAATATGATCAGCTATTGTTAGTTATATCTTTTACGCTCACACAGAAGCCTTTATATTAATGATTAATGTATATTTAATCTTCAACAGGTACACTTTCAGACCGCACGAAAAGAGCATCTTTGCCGTCTTACTGGAGTGGCCCAATAATGGATCTGTGATTCTGAATGAACCTGTGGTTACACAAGGAGAGACTCAGGTAAGACTAGTGCAGTACAGAAATTACAATGATATTTTCTCTACATCTAGTTTATTATCTTTTTGGATGCTGTTTTTAAATGAATTCTTAAAGGCAGCTACTTATGTTTTTAAACTGAAATCACCAACGGTATTTTTCTTTTGCTGAGAGTATGCAACAGTTATTTTTATTATCGATTTATCTAACGGCTATTTTATAATTATTATTATAATTGATTCATAGTTAAGTAAATTAAAAGTCAGAAAATATTGAAAAAGCAAAAGTATTCAGGGTACAATGAAATAAAGCAGAAAAAGCTGCAGATCCTCACACTGGAGAAGCTGTAAATTTACTAATTGTATCAGATCTAACACCATAAATTGATTAAATGAATTAAATCTGCAAAGAAAAAGCAGGTATCACTGGTTTTATAGACTGTTATAATGCAGCTGCAACTCGGCAGGAGTCTCCATCACGTTAGCAGAGAAAGAAATGACTGGCCAGTATTTAATTAAAGGCTCAATATATTGGCGTACTGGTTTAACCCTGCTCAAGTGTCCAATAACCACACTGCATCCTGGGAAATGAGGTTGATTCCTAGTTCACAAAGCAGTTTTTACCTCCCGTTCTGTCAACATGTCAACCTTGTTCGTGTGTGGCTTTTGTTCTAAAAAAAGGTGGCGCTTCTCGGTCACGGGTCTCTGAAGTGGGAGCCTGTAAAGCCCAGCGGACTGCGGGTTCTCCTGCCCCAGCTGTCCTTCAGCCAGATGCCATGCCAGTGGGGCTGGACACTGAGGCTGACAGGTGCCACTTAAAGGGAAACCAAATCACATGAAGAGGAACAGACGGAGCTGCGGGGGCCGAAGAGAAGGACCCAGCAATTTATGGGATTTAAATCACAGAACAAAACCCATAAAATGTACTGTACAGTCTGTAGGTTGCACTATACGCAGGGAGTGCAGATCATTGCTTTTGTATTGGGTGATTTTTATGATCAAAGTCTTTTAAGTTTCTTAACTTTTGGACACAGAAGTCATGTTTAGGTGCAGAAAAGGTTGATTTATAGCCTGTAGGCGTTAATCTACGGGGTTACATGTGACAAATGTGATGACATTTTACACAATTTTTCTGCACTTTTGTAATTATTTTTTAAGCCACCATAGTATTTGTTTGTGATTTTTGTGATTTCCATGCAGTCTGCAGCACAGATTGATGTGTTGGTGTTTGTTTTACATGTAAAGGAATGTGTAAATAAAATAAATGAAGCCTTCAAGCACTGTATTTTTTGATTGTATCAGCTTGACTTTAGCGCTCCTGATCAGTCCTGTATTATCTCAGGTATTGCGTCCAGTTAGCGCCCCCTGCTGATAACATCTGGAACAACCCCCACCCCCCTCCTCCTCCTCCTCCTCTCTCCAGCCTTGCGGGACATTTTAAAGCACGCTGACGGCGCAAAATTGATCTGTACACCCCTGCTGTACACAGGCGAACCAGGAAAACTGCATTCCCTGTCATGCATCAGAGAAATATGGGTGGAATGAAATCATCTGCATGTTGCACAGTGCCCGGTAAGCCTCTGCCCCCCCCACCCCGCAGCTTCACACCGCGATCACACTGTTTTAGAGCCGTAATTGTGCGCTTCTTCCTCCGCCGAGCCACAATAGCGAGAGGTGTATTTGTCACCTAAGATGGTGAGTCCGGCGCAGGGCAGATCTCTCTGTTGTGTCTGCTCTCTGTTGCACGCCTTTAAGGTGGGAGGTCCCTGTTCTGCAAATGTTCCATGACGTGCAACTGGGGGGATTGCAAGGGGTTCTCACGTCCGTGCATTTCCCCCCCTTCAGCAGGCTATCCCCAGCCTGGGACCCGCACAAGACAGCTGATCCCCCAAACAACAACAACAACAACAACAGCAGCAGAAGGATGTGAGGGTGCAGATTGATTGAACAGTTTTTAGAAAGTTATGTTTTTGGTTTTTTTTGGTTGTTTTCATAAATGATCAATATGTCGATTATTTTCTTGATTAATCGTTTGAGCCATAAAATGTATAAAAGAAAATACTAAAAGATTCACATCAGTTTCCAAAAGCCAAAACTGACATATTCAAATTGCTTGTTTTGTGTGACCAAGAGTCCCAAACTCAGAGATATTTAGTTTAGTATCAAAAAAGCCTAATCAATTAATCATTTAATCAATCATCAATCAATGCATTTTTATTTCTTGAATAAATAAACTGTTTGCAATAGTGGAAAATGCTAAATGAGATTTCTTTTGTCTGACCATTGATACAAAACCCTGAAATATTGAGTTCACTTCAAAATGAGCAAATATTCACATTTGAGAAGCTGGAACGAGTGAATTCTTGACATTTGTGCTTAAAAAATTACTTAATTTTTCAACTAATCATTTCAGATCTAGTGTGATGTGAATCATAGTGTAGGAGTTAAACAGGAGTACACTGCATAAAACATTAATTTCTCATTTGGTTTTGCACAAAATCATCATAAACTAAAATTAAAATATTCCCAAATTGCCTAGAACTAAATGAAGGCAGCATTTTATACAATATTTACCTTTTCTTTATGTATGACTCTATGTTAATTCACGCTCTATTTCAATGTCTATAACTGTGTGATCACATTATTGATGCAATGTGTGGCTGAAGCACATTTTTTCCACTCATTTCTGTAGGGTTGGTGCTGTAATCTTTGGCTGGTAATTATATATGTAGACAGAAACTGGGAAACTGTTACAGACGTTGGCACGGGGGTGCATCATTGGGTAATCACAGTCTAACGATTGCATCTTGTGTCTCCAGGATTGGTATTTCTTAGTAACTCTGCGCATGCTCGAGTAATGCTTAGGCAGTAGACGGCCGCTGTATTGAAATCAGCTTGACTTACAAGGAGACGGGAGAAATGAAACACCAAATAGCGATCTCTTCTGTGAAAACCTGATCTGATTCAATCTCGCTCGCAATGATCCATTGAGCGAGACGGGGTGAAGACCTGCCGGGAAGCGGAGGGACGGGCGCGACATTTTCTAGTTGGTGTTCGTATCAGACTTCTCTTGTGCGTGCGAGAGAAGGCGCTCTCAAGTGGCTCGCGGCGCACATAAGTTGATCATATTCGTTCCTCCTTTGTTAATTTGCGAAATAGAGTATCTTAGGCGCACGCATGCAGGCGAGGGAAAAACCTCATTCCTTCCATTCATAAACATTCCCTCAGTGTCCTTCAGTGTGTGTGTGAGTTGTCTCCTCTGTCGTCTGTTTTAGCACTAATATCATTAGAGGCCTTTGCTAGTAGTCGGGTGCATGTGTGGCATTCAATCACATGCAAATTTGTGGCAGATTTGAGCCGGTCAGCAGAGCCGTGGTGTAGCTTTAGATAGTGGAAATGCCAAGCAGTGTGGAACATCCTGGGGGACAGACCATTATATTTATAGAGATGGGCGACTTGACCTTCACTGCACATTGAGTATCAGCCATTTTAGTGCCGCTCCTCTAGATACTGAATACAGCATAATGGATCTCAGCTGCAGTGCAGTTAGTTAGCTTCAACTTCATCTTCAGCTTGTTAGAGGCAATATCTAATAATAGCTCCCTGCAATTCCATACTGTGGAGGGACTCTGTCGATACACAGTCTCTGCATTTGGTGCTTTTTTTTGGCACTCGAGCGAGTTGAAGTTTTCTAAAAGAAAATACACTGTGAAATTACAGTTTTTCCGTGCAGGAAGTTAAAGGCTTGCCATTTGGGTAGGATTTTGTACTCAAGAGGTGAAGTTCAACTATAAGTCGTTACATAAGTTTAAAGCCTTTGTTCTGCTGTGTAAGCTTTTATGTTAAGAGTGAGATATGCCTCAGCCGTAGCCCAAAGCCAAGGACTCCTATTCATAGAGGCACCCAGTTGTTCTCACCCAATGGCACAGAGTGAAACTGAGGAGGATGGTCAAAGCGGGTGAAGTATTTATAGTTGTGTAAATTATATTGTGCTGAAAGGCCAAAGATTCACACAAATGACTGAGGTGGAGGGATCGTAAAAATCAGTCAAGTCAGGGGAAAGACCCATTAAGAGCAGCTTCCAAACAAATTATGGTAGAAATGGACTACAGGTAAGGAGGTTTTGGCTTGTATCCAACCATCACTTTGAATTACAATTCAAGTCAAAATTAGGCGTGTGTTATTACCTGTAGTTAGGCTGGTCCAGGTGGTGCTCAGACTATTAGTAGTTACATTTATAGCAATCTACAGTTGTGTAGTCTATTTTTTCATCATCATCTAATGTATCTATAGACCGCTTTTCTTATACTCAAAGACACTATTATATTTTATATTTATTTTATTTGCCATTAAGCTATACTATGTAACTTCAGAGAAAATAAATAACACATTCTTCTTAGAAATGAAGTGTTGAATTCCTAAACCGTCTTCGCTCATTGAAACACACTCGGCGAATGTTTCATGTTTTCCTGATACAACCTTACTTAGTCTGGTGGCTAATGGTGACTTATGATGGCAAATTATAGCTAATGTTATTATATATAATATAAATATTGTTGTACAACTGCATTATTTGCTGATGTTAAATGACCATTTTCTACTTGTCTGCTTATGTTATATTTTAGCATCTACCATTGTTCTGTAATTGTAGCCTGCAGTCACTGGTGTTTGGGAAAAGTTACATAATCTTGTAAGTAAGCAATTTAGAGTTGTAGACGGCCAAAGTGGAGCTTATAACTACTTTATACAGTATACAGTCAGGTAGCTAAGCTAATGATAGCCTACAGTTTGTAAAATATCTGAAAAAGTAACTGTAACTTCAGCTGTCAAATAACAGAAACATTTCTATTTGCCTGTCCAGGTCATATTTCTGTCGAAATAACTTGTTGATCAGGAAGCATCACAGGCTTTGTACTGAGAAATTATAATAGAAGACAAAGTAAATCTCTTGACGCTTTCAGGGAAATATGACAAGCTGCTATCGTAAAATATAGATGAAAAGTAACAACACAAATGTCTGACATCTAATCCCTATCGTAATGATCTAATTAGGCAATTAAGTCTCACTTTAAAATATAATAAAACTGCATCTACTTGAGGAGAGCTTAACAATACAGTCTGTGGCTTTGGGCTTATAAAAATAGAATCATTAGAGCATTTGAATTTGAGTAAAATCATGTAACGAGGCAGATTTTGAGAAGTTACTGTAGAAGCTGTAATAGCACCACGTCACACTGAACTCATACATCTGATTCACAGGATGAGGTTTGCAGCTGCACATAATCTGCAGTATTGTCCTAGTTTTTCCCGTGTTAATGACACCCTCATCACGACTCTCTCCATTCACAAAGCAAATCCTGTCGTGATGGGAAGAACTGGCTCTGAACAGCCTGTGGGTGTCTAAGAATTCAGAGAACATGTCTAATTTTTGCAGCATCCTCACAGCCAGCCACATGCTGTCTTTTCATTGAGTTCCTCTCTATATACAAAGTGAATAGGATCACGGTGTAGGAAATGTATATTCAGGGCTGCTGCACCATGTGATTAGTGTCTTTCAAAGTGCTTGTCACTTTTTGCGTTTCTCCTCTGCTCTGCTTTTATTCACACGCTTTGTCCAAGTGATTTATATCATAATAGTTCATGAATGTGTGTACCTGAATGAATTCCAGATCACAAAATATCAGGCTAAAATAAATGATTGAATCTGGGGATGAATGAACACCGGCGATCTAGAAAGGTGATGTTTAGCTCTTTGCATCATGATATCTGACTCCCCACTTTGTGTGTAGTGTGAGGCAGCTGCTGAAACACAGCGAGAGAGGAAAAGCGTCCTTAAATGTGGGCTGTTGTGTAATCCCTCCCAGGGCCCCTTTGCTATTTTTGTGCCTGGGTCCGCACGTCACGGTTGGGTATTTTCTCTGGTGACTAGCTCGCATCAATAGATCTTCTAATGTACACCCAGTCAGCCAGCAGCTTCATGACTGATGGGACTTTACCTTGCTAATTTATTTCATTATTGTTTCCCAGACATGAGGAGAATGGAGAAACGGACTATGCAGCATGAGGAATGTCACATGTGACTGTCGATATGGGACAGGGGACTATTCAAATGTCAGGTTTGTATGAGGATTATATTTGATATCTGAATGTCAGCTGGTGTATGAGCCAAGGCTTTCTTCCCATCAGACCGTGTGCTTTGTGTCATTCTGATCACACTGAGAGCTGTTGATTGATTCTGCATGCTATGTGCTATGTTGCTGTTAGAGTACCACAGAGG